AATTCAGATGTTTGCTAGGATAATGGTAATTCTTGTCCCTATTTTATGTGATGAATATGAGTTTGGGTTTAGAGGACACCTCTTTGGAACTTAACAGAATTTAAGTCCCAAAAGGTGAAATGATTTGAGGATCAATGGATATGGTTTAGTTGATGTTCTGTTAGGTGCACAGGTAGATTGAGCAATATTGGATCTTCATGTCTAGAACATTTTGCAGTCTGTCATCTTGGAATTTACTTCCTCCTTTTTTAGAACAATTTGTAACCCTCACAAACAGAAAGCCAATTGGTTATATATAGAGGGTTTGTTTTTTGTTTTGTTAATCCTTACCTGAGGATATTTTTTCCATTGATTTTTTTAGAGAATGAAAGAGAAGGGGAGAGATACAGAGAGAGAAACATCAATGTGAGAGGGCCGGGGATCAAGCTGCCACTGAGGTATAATACATGCCCTTGATCGGAATTGAACTGGGGACCCTTCAGTCTGCAGGTCAATGCTCTCTCCACTGAGCCAAACCATCTAGGGTCAAATGAGGATTTTAATGATTTCCAACAACATGACATTTTAACCAATCCAAAGAAACTTCAGCTTGGACAGAAGCATCTACTAGGCATGGAAAAGCACAATTACCACCCTGCTTCTCAGATAAGGCAGAGATAGCCACTTACATGGAACTCTTAGTAATGGCCCTATGCCCAGACAGAGACTTTGAAGCTATAATTAACACTTTAAATTTACACAAACACATCAAGCTTTAAAAATTAATTGCCCTCCATTTATGGATAGTAGTTGTCCCCCTTAATTATTTGAAATCACAGTCCTTAATTAAGAGATGTAAGAAACATGATTAAATGGCTGTCACATAACACTGGAACTCACTGGATGGCTATATTTCCTGAACCCACTTGCTCAAAATAAATACAGGGAAACTTTGTTCTAACTTTTCCTTTTAATGAGCAAGAGTTAACCAGTGCCAAAGCTTCCTGGTTAGGCACTTCGTAGGCGGCAGTACTTTCAAGAAGTAAATTATTAGGTGGTATTTAATAAATTCATGAAATTCTCTGAATGGTTTAGAGATACCTAATCTCTTTCCAGCTAATTTGTTATTACTTTCAAGAGTCTTAGAAAACCTGGGAAAAGCCGAAACCGGTTTGGCTCAGTGGATAGAGCATCAGTCTGTGGACTGAAAGGTCCCGAGTTCAATTCCGGTCAGGGGCATGTACCTTGGTTGCGGGCACATCCCCAGTTTGGGGGGGGGGGATGTGTGTGCAAGAGGTAGCTGATCGATGATTCTCTCTCATCGATGTTTCTAACTCTCTATCCCTCTCTCTTCCTCTCTGTAAAAAATCAGTAAAATAGCCGAAACCAGTTTGGCTCAGTGGTAGAGCGTCGGCCTGCAGACTGAAAGGTCCCCGGTTCGATTCCAGTCAAGGGCATGTACCTTGGTTGCAGGCACATCCCCAGAAGGGGGTGTGCAGGAGGCAGCTGGTCGATGTTTCTCTCTCATCGATGTTTCTAGCTCTCTATCCCTCTCCCTTCTCTCTGTAAAAAATCAATAAAATATATATTTAAAAATAAATAAATAATTTTTAAAGTAGTCTGTCATATGTTAGTTGGTAAAGCAGAATGAGAAAGGCATCCACCTGGGGCTAAGACCTGCATCGGGTGGAAGGCACCCAGCTGGGTGGTACCTGATACAGGGTGTTGAAGCCTGAGTAGGATGAAGGAGATGGCCAGGGCTCTAGTCAGTCTGGCTCAGTGAATAGAGTGTAGGCCTGCAGACTAAATGATCCCAGGTTTGATTCTGGTCAAGGGCACATGCCTGGGTTGTGGTCTCCATCCCCAGTAGGAGGTGTGCAGGAGGCAGCCGATCAATGATTCTCTTTCATCTTCCAAAGGTTAAGATTATGAAACAAAGATTAAGGAACTGTTCCACACTGAAGAAGACTAAAGAGACATGTACTAAATGAAACTGTGATGCTAATCTAGATCCTTTTACTATACATTTTTGAAACTGGCTAACCTTGAGTGGAGTCTGGGGGTTAGATGGCAGTATGTATTAATATTTCCTGCCCGGCCATTGTGGCTCAGTGGTTGAGTATCAACCTATGAACCACGAGGTCACAGTTCCATTCCTGGTCAGGGCACATGCCCAGGTTGCAGGCTCAATCTCTAGTAGGGGGTGTGCTGGAGCAGCCAATCGATGATTCTCCATCATCATTGATGTTTCTATGTCTCTTCCTCTCCCTTCCTCTCTGAAATCAATAAAAATATACTTTAGAAAATATTTCCTAGTTTTGACATAACTATATTGAGGTTATGTAGGAGAAAGTCCTTGTTTGTAGGAATTACATACTAATAAAATATTTGGAAGTGATGGGTCATCAGGTTGACAATTTACTCTCATGGTTCAGGAAAATATTACTTGTAATTATAGGTAACTTTTAAAAATTTATTTTTCAATAACAGTTTACATTCAGCATTACCTTGTATTAGTTTCATATTATAGGTAACTTTTAAGTTTAAGTGTATTTCAAAAATTTTTAATTATATTATTTTAAACAGGAAAATTATATATTTTTATTTATTTTATTTTTTTAAAATATATTTTTATTGATTTCAGAGTGGAGAGATAGAAACATCAATGATGAGAGGGAATCATTGATTGGCTGACTCCTTCTCTCCCCCCCCCCCCCCCCCCCCGCCCCAGGCGTGTGCCCTTGACTGGAATCCAATCTGTGCCCCTTCAATCCACAGGCTGACACTCTATCCACTGAGCCAAACCGGCTAGGGTGGAAAGTTATATATTTAAATTTAAAGATTTCTTCTTACTACCTGCCCATAATACTCTTTTAAAGCATGCTTACTCAGAAAAGCATTTTACCACATAGTTTGAAATTTAAATCTGTACTCAAATTGATCAACCCCATTATTGTCCCTTAGAGTTGGTGGAGGAGTGAGTATAGGGAAAATTTTATCGTAATTGTTTTAAAATTTGTCTTCAAATTCAAGTGGTCAAAATTATTTCTCTTTTATGAGCTGCATAAGGTATATCACTGTTGCAATAAAAAAAATTAAACATTTATATTTTACAAAACAGTTTCACAACCGTTACCTGATTTTGTCCTATGAGTCACATTCATTCAGCAAAGAAAAAAGTGATTATTGAATTGATTTTTATTTTTATAGTTCAGATATTGAAGAAGACACCAGGTCATTACTTTTTCAGTGTAGGAGTCAGGATTCCAATTCAAGCAATATAACGAGTCCTAACTAAATTCTGCTGCCGTTTTTAAACAAGGAGTCGTAACTTGCCCATGACCATGGGCCTTTTTTTTTTTTTTTTTTCCATCAGCAAAATGAAAAGTGTTGAATTCTGCAATGTTCAAGCTCCATTCCAGCTTCAAAATCCTAAAATTTGCCCAGCCAGGTGTGGTTTAGCGATTGAATGATTGAGCATTGACCCAGGAACCAAGAGGTCACTGGTTCTATTGTGGTCAGGGCATAAGCCCTGGTTGCACTGGATCCTCAGTAGGAGCATGCAGGAGGCAGCCAATTGAGATTCTCTTTCATCATTAATGTTTCTATCTCTTTCTCCCTCTCCCTTTCTCTCTGAAATCAATAAAAATATATACACTGAGTGGCCAGATTATGATGATCTCCGAATGCATAATAATCTGGCTACTCAGTGTATATTTTAAAAATCCTAAAATTCAAGTCATTGATAATAGTAACTACAAAAACCATGAAATGACTCATATCTATAAAAGTATATAACTTATGTGGGGTGGAAAAACTATAAAACTTTCCTATGGTTTTTAATGACTTGACTATACAGATTTGTAAATGTCTTAATTTTCTTTTCTCCAATTTCAGATCCATTAATAAATAGAATTCAGGTGTGACAGTGTAGTGCTTGTGAAAAGCAATTTATTCAGGGAGGCTGTGACATGAACAATTCTTCTCCCCCTCCTGAGATTTTTGTTTTGTTGTTTTGTTTTGTTCCAAGGAACCCTTTGTTCTTTTTAATGAGGGTAAAGACAGATGTGTTTGAAAGAGACTTTTCCTCCTGTTAAATGAATAGGCCACTGCTGCTTTGTATAGCTCGAGGCAGTCTTATGGGAAACAGGCACTTCCATGATTTTTGTTTGGGGTTGTGGGTGCATTGTTGTTGCTGTGAAGTTATATTTGATTGGTCTGAATTGTGCAGCACTAGGTGTGATATCTTTCTCTTCAACATAACTGCTCATGAGATCTTTTTTTTGGGGGGGGAAAGGAAATTAAAAAGGAGAAGGAAAGACCATCACAGTGAGTGTTTAGGCAGTGAGACTGATTGTTTTCAAACAAATCAAATTCATTATATGCCTAGTAATGAAGATATCTTAATAACAGAGAAAGCAGCTCCATTATCTACATGCTTCTATTAACCAATTTATTTTGTTTAGATCAGTGGGCAGGAACACCATCTGTTAGAATTTTTTTTTTTTCATCAAGCCTGTCCTCATTAAGAGTCTCCAGTTTAAGTAACTTCAGCTGCCCTTCTGTTTAATTTTCATAGTAACTCAATTCAGGGGTATGGAGAGAAAAAAGCAGCTAAGAAGATATTGTAAGTTGTACCATGCCCTTAGAGGATTTAATTTAATCACCCCTTTAGCAAGAAAAATTAGTGGGAGGAGTTTATGTGTGTAGGGAAAAAGGCTGAGGAGAGGAAGGGGCAGAACTGATGATGGATGAGGCTGCTTTAAGGAAATGGTTTAGTAGGATTTTTTTCCTTTTTTTTTTTTTTTTTTTTTTTCCTGATAGCTTTTTGGTGGACTTTCTGTTGTTCTAAGATCTCTTGTTTTAAGAATCATTTTCCATAATATTCTTCTTTCAGAACTATGACCTATACATACATATTGGTATATATGTTTATATAAAATACAATTATACAAATGTTACTGCAAATGTTGGTTGACACTGTGACACTGAAAGAGTTTTAAATTTGTATTCTTTCAAAGGTCCATGACTCCAGCTCAAGCTGACCTGGAATTCCTTGAGAATGCCAAAAAGTTGTCTATGTATGGTGTTGACCTTCATAAAGCAAAGGTAATAACTTTGGTCTTTATTAACATGCATGTATCAGACCTGTGCCATATAATACTTCTCACCAACCTTTATCTGGGGTTATTATTATAAAACATTCTAAAGAAAGAAGAATTCTTGTTAGACTTTTAAGTCTATGAATTGAATCAATCAAGTGTATAAAGTATTAAAATGAATTGCCCCTTTGTAATTCCACCATTAGAATTCAAGTTTCGCATCCAAGTTATCAAAATATTTTAACACCTAGAGCAAAAGAAATTGTTTTCTTAAAATACAGATATGTTTGAAAATGTTGCGTGGCATCTGTGTATGTTTCACAGCCAATGGGTTGCAGGTTTGATCTCTAATAGGGGAGCTGCAGGAGGCAGCCAATCAATGATTCTATCTTGATGTTCGCGCGCGCTCTCTCTCTCTCTCTCTCTCTCTCTCTCCTTTCCTCTCTGAAATAAATAAATATATATTAAAAAATATATATATATTTTTAAAAGATAATTGTGCATCCTCTCGCAATCCTGTTCCACTCAGGGGATGTTGGAGAGTTTTGGTTTTGGCCTGATCCCTGCAGGCCAGGCCGAGGTTACCCCACCAGTACATCCGTGCACAAGGCCTCTAGTACGCATATAAGATCTTTGGTTAATCTCTTCCCGCCCCCCCCCCCCCCCCCCCCCCCCCCCCCCCCCCGCTTTCCCTCTGAGATTCATCAGTCTATTCCATGTTTCTATGCCTGTGGTTTCTGTTCCTGTGTTGAGCATCTGCCCTCTGGTGGTCAGTGTGTGTCATAGCTACCAGCAGCAGGTCACTTAGGCTTTTATATCTATACTAATAATAGCCTAGGACCTTCATGACCTAAACGACCAGATGGACAATCAGTCATCAGGAAGTGCATGGTGCACCTCTTGGTCCCTCCCCCATGGAGTGACCATTATTACTGATTACTGTTAAAGAGTGTGGGAAGAGAGGGTAGAGTTTTATTTTTATTTTACATACTTCTATATTTGAATTTTTTACATGCATGTATTAGTTTAGTGATATATAAATGTTTTTAAAAATTCATGTTTATTATAATTGGAAAATATAGAAAGCTAAAATGAAATGTTTCTTATAATTGTACCAACTAAAGAATACCATTGTTAATGTTTTGCTATATTCATCTTTCTTCTCTCTATTTTTTATATTGTTGTGATCAAATTATATATGCAGCTTTAACCTGCTTTATTTTACTGAACATTATAACAATTTTCCCGTTTATCTCCCAAATTCTTCGTAATTATTTTAATGGTCACATCGTATTGCACCAAAGGATAGGCAATAATTTAACCCTGGAAGTTGGGTACTTAGGTTATATCCAATTTTTCACTCTTAAAACATTCTAAATATTTTCATATATAAAGCATTTTCTGTGATATGAATAATTTTCTTGGAATAAATTACAGAAATAGAATTACTGTGTCTGATTTGGACATTTTAAAGATATTTGTGATAGGTAAAATATTGTGGGGTTTTTGTTTTTAAAGTGGTAGAGTAATAACATTTTTACATAGATCGAATGGTACCATGGGTTATTATTGTTAGGTTAAGCTTTATTATTCATGGTATGCTTTGTAATTCTTCTTGGTTGTTGATAGCTTCAGATTCTCTAATTATAGTCAGCAGTGTGATAAGCACTTTGCTCAAAACTGAAATGCTAATGCTTCTCTTTTCCAGGACTTGGAGGGAGTGGATATCATCCTAGGTGTCTGCTCTAGTGGCCTTCTGGTTTACAAAGATAAGCTGAGAATTAACCGCTTTCCTTGGCCCAAAGTGCTGAAGATTTCTTATAAACGTAGCAGCTTTTTCATCAAGATTCGGCCTGGAGAGGTATAGAATTTGTGTTTCTTCTCAAACCCCCCCCCCCCCCCAAACACATATCATGTCTATAACATCTCTTTGCTTCCTGTTTTTCTTGTTCTGTCATCTAAGAGGTCTCTCTGTAGTTAACTATGCAGGAGCTGTTAGTCTCTTTTCTCAATCAGTCCTGTAATGCTGCTTTTCCTCCTTGTTATGGTTTTCTGGGCTTTTCTCTTTAGGTAAATAAATATATCATGACCAAAAGTGAAACTTGCATTGATAAACTTGTACCTTGTTTACTTCAGGTAAAATCTTCATGGAAAATAGTTTTAAATTGAGTAGCATGAGATTTTTAAATTGTGAAGTTTAAGTTACTCATGTTTTGTACTACCAATCTCTTACTCATTTAATTAAAATGTATTTTTATGTGTAGTTTCTAGTAGTTACTGAGAATATATTCCAAGCTGAAGTTCTAGATTTTTAATAGAGTTGTTTAACTTTGTGTCAGATAATTCAGTTATTAGTTGTTGGGCAAGTTTCAGGATATACTAATGCTGTCCAAATTTAACTTTTATATTAAATAGTCATTATGTATAGAGAAAATTGTTTAAGTAGGAATTACATTTTTTTAAAAAAATTCTACCTCCTACTCTGCCACCAACTAAGTAAAAGACCCTGAAGAAACCTAAGACTCAACTTCTCTATCATTCAAGGTGGAAAATACCTTCTCTGTCAGGGTTGATTTGAAGATCAAATGAGAAGACGGTTGCAAAAGGTCTAAGCTGGAAAACATACTAATGTAGAAGGGTGTTTTTTTGTGTGTGTGTTTATATCACCATCTGCTGGTGAAAATGGCTCATTATTTGAGCATGGAAATACTGGATGTTCAACCTTAAAAATCTCATATGATCATTGAAGCATTTACTTAGTATCATAATTATTTACTTGTGCCTTTCACAGAACAATCTCTGACTTCTGTCAAAGAGTTTCAAACCAAAAGTCATTCAGTCAACAGATATATATTGAGGGTATTTGTTGTGCCATGCACTACTCTAGGGGCTAGGAACAGTGAATAAAAGTCCATCTTTTTTTGTGGGAAGGCGCACATACACACACACACACACACACACACACACACATTTTAATAAATTAGTTCATTGGAGTTTTTGGTTTCTTTAAATGTCAACTATATAATATACACTAAAAATGCAGAATCCTTACTTTAAGAAAGCAATCAGGAACACAGTAGGATTTCAATAAGTATACTATTATGACTATAGCAGATGATTTGGAAGTAGAATGGCTTAGTGGAAACCAAGCAATTCTGGTTATGCCACTTTATAATTGTGAAACTGAGAAGTAACTTGTCTGACCTCAGTTTTTTCATGTGTAATATTATCTAGTCATAGCATATTGGCAATAATAGGCACTAGAAATAAACGTCAGTTTTCTTTCCATCTGAAAAAGCATGCTTAAAGCAGGAACAAAGAGATAAGAGACTAGCAGAATATGGTTTGCTTCAAAGAGGTATCAAGATAAATTAATGATCAATTAAAGGAAAAAAGAGAAGGCAATTAATAATTCAAGAATTGGTCTGAGCCAAAATCTTTCATTTTTAAAAAAATTTTTTTTAAATCCTCACCCAAGAATATTTTCCCATTGATTTTAGAGAGAGTGGAAGAGAGAGGGAAAGACAGAAATATTGATGTGAGATAAATATTGATTGGTTGTCTCCCGCATGAGCCCCGAATAGGGCCAGGGCCGGAGAGGATCCTGCAATGCTGCAACCAAGGTAGGTGTCCTTGACCAGAATCAAACCTGGGACTCTTAAGTCCGCAGGTCGATGCTCTACCACTGAGCAAACCCGGCAAAATCTTTCTTTTTTAAAAAAAATATATTTTATTGATTTTTTTTTTTTTACAGAGAGGAGGGGAGAGGGATAGAGAGCCAGAAACATCGATGAGAGAGAAACATTGATCAGCTGCCTCCTGCACACTCCCTACTGTGGATGTGCCCGAAACCAAGGTACATGCATGCCCTTGCCCGGAATCAAACCTGGGACCCTTCAGTTCGCAGGCCAATGCTCTATCCACTGAGCCAAACCGGTTAGGGTAAAATCTTTCATCTTTAGCTCCTATTACAAAAATAAATAAATAAATAAATAAATAAAATTGCAAAATAATATTATTTGATTGGAGGAATCATGTGCTATCTCATTCCCTGAGCATTAAGTAATCTAGTTTCCCAAGTGCAAATGATGAGTGAGTAAGAGCCCTGTCTGGACAATCAAAAGGTAACTTAATTATGACCCAGAAAAATGTGCTCTGTATGTGTGTGTTTCTGAGCAAAATAAGATGCATAAATAATATAAGATGCATCTCTTGGCTTCCTTGTGGAAAAAGCCACCTCGGTGAGTAAATTTCTTTTTATAAGTAGGAAAATGTTTCAAATATTTTATGCCATTAGGAATGTTCTTTTTATTATTGATGACCTTTTCTGTAGCACCATATTTCTCTGGTCCTTATCACTGTAGTCAAATAATCCTTTATGTACAATGTTTGTGTTTTTATAGCAAGAGCAGTATGAAAGTACCATCGGATTTAAACTTCCCAGTTACCGAGCAGCTAAGAAATTATGGAAAGTCTGTGTAGAGCATCACACATTTTTCAGGTATTGTTCTCACTTCAGTATTTTTCAAGGATAAATTATTTATGCAAGTTTCTGTTTTAATCTGCTATTAAAATTCACTTCTTTGAATGACTGGCATTCTTTTTTTATTTACCTCAAGTAAGACCATCTTAAGCAAGACAAAATGAATACAGTCCTCCTTTGGGTTGAAAAACATGCTTCAGCATTCCCAGAGCACCTTTCTGTGAATGGTAGGAGTAGAAAAGTGAGGATATAGGAACCTGTGTTTACTGGGGGCTTTGTGATCGCTCTAACTGGAGCTGAAATCAGTCCTATCAGGAGGAGGTACCTGGACTACCTCCACATGTAATTTCTCTAAGTAGTGCTTAACTACTTTCTGGGTGGGGCTTTTCACTGAAAGATGAAAGGTATGAAGCTAATCATTATCTTGGCGCTAATCAACCCAGAAAGAGAGCACAGAGAACCATCTTTGAAGCTCAAGTGTATCAGATGATCAGAAGAAAGTTTTCTTTTCTCTGGTTTTCAAGAAGCCATATCATTAACCCCCTGTCTTTATTTACTAAGCATGTTCTCTGTGTAGATACTGTACAAGGCACTGAGACTATATATACTATAAGACAGTTCTAGTCTCTGTCCTGATAGAACATGCATTCTAGCTGAGAACACAGACCTTAGACAAATTACTGTATTGAAAGGAGAGTCAGCTTGTTATTGTCAGCTTGCCTTTTTAAGAAAAGTTCTTTATTATGGAAAATTGCATACATAACAAGAGTAAAGAGACTAGTATAGTAAAGAGACTACTATAATGCATATCACCCAGCTTCAATAATTATCATCCCAAGCCCAATCTTGTTTGATCTATTATGCCACCCAATTCTTCCCATTACTTCCTAGATTATTTTGAAGCAAATCTAAGACCTCATGTCATATCATTCATAAATAAACTTGACTCGCAAATGGCTCTCAAGAGAGAGAATCATGATATCTTTTCCTTTTAGTTGTATTTTTCATATCATACTTAGTACTATAGCTCAGTGGACAGGAAGGAAAGCCAGGGAAAATAACATTTAAATTCTCATTTAAAAATAAAACATGAGGATACATTTTATACACAATTAAAGAATCTTTATCACTGGCTTTAAGATTTTTGTTTATGCTTTCATCATCCTCTTCTTTAAAATCAAACCAATAGCAACTAGGTCGGTAGCGGCAGTGACCAGACCCGGAACAGCTGGTTGTGGAATGAACCAGAGCAACAGAGGCCAGGCCCTGAGCAGCCAGGCCCAGAACAGCTCGCTCCTTGCCTGCCCCTACCCCACGGCTGCTTCTCAGACATGGCTGGAAACTTTCGTGGGAACTTGAGGGTCTGCTGAATCAAGTGATGAAGGCTTAGATCTGGATGTGTTGAGTTAGTTCAGGACTGGGGTGTTGATCTGTGAGTGCCTTGGGTGGGGCCTGGATGAGGCTGGTTGACCTAGTGGGAAATGTCTTTTGTGTGAAGTGTATCATTGGGCATGTGGAGGTATTATTGATATGAGAAAATGTTAAGTAACTGATTTACTATCTGAAAAGGGATTTACTATTGGGGAAATTGAGGGAAGAAGAGACTGAACATAAACTGCACCTATGGATGAGGACAATGGGGGATGGGGGGGGGGACGGAGGGTGGGGTGGGAACCTGGTGGAGGGGGGAAGAAATGAGGAACCTTTGTAATAATATGAACAATAAAGATTGATTTAAAAAATAAATAAATAAATAAAAAAAATAAAAAAAATAAAATCAAACCAATAAAATAGAGTTTTTAAAAAAGGTAAGGATATTTTTAAATAAGAAAAAATAAATAAAAAGGGTAAGGAAAAGTAAAAAAAAAAAATTATTTTGAGTGTTTAGTATCTATAATATAGATTTCAGCTACAGCCAGTGTGTTTACTTGTAGGATAGCATATTTAAATGCATTTCATCAAAATAAGAGGCTTTATTGATATGTAATGCTTCAGTACATAAAAGTAAACCAGTATTTGATGAATTAAAATAAATGATCCCCAAGGAAAAATATATTTTATAGTATTTGATGTAATAATTTATGTTTTTATTCAGCAAACATTTATTGAGTGCCAAATTCATGCCAGGCACTATGCCAGAAGTGAAAACACAAGGTTGAATAAGTAGAAACCAGCACATAAATTGTTTCAATTCAGTGTAGTAAATACCATGACTAAAGAGAGCACAGGGTACTGCATAAGAAGATGGGGTTCTTGAGTTAAAAATACAGTAACTAACCTATTAAATAGGTTACCAGGCATTAATTGAGTTTGGAGTGCATTTGACAAAATTATTCTAGTAGAGTAGAAAAAGAGCTCTGATTTACAATAGCTAAGATTTGGAAACAGTCTAAGTACCCATCAGCAAAAGAGTGGGTTAGAAATCTGTGGTACATCTACAAAATGGAATACTACACTACTGTATAAAAGAAGGAATTTTTACCATTTGCAACAGCATGGATGGACCTGGAGAGCATTATCCTAAGCGAAATTAGTCAGACAGAGAAAGATAAATATCACATGATCTCACCCATTTGTGGAATATAATGAACAGCATAAACTGATGAACAAAAACAGAACCAGAATCATAGAAGCATCGAATAGACTGTCCAACTTACTGGGGGGAGAGGGGGAGAATGGGATAAAAAAACAACCAAAGGACTTCTATGCATGCATATGAGCATAACCAATGGACATAGACGGGGAGTGGGGACGGGTGGAAGGAAGGGAGGGCATGTGCTAGGGGTTGGGGGCAGCTGGGGAGAGGTCAATGGGGGAGAAAGGAGACTTATGTAATACATTAAGCGATAAGAAAAAGAGCTGGGGCTTAGTCTCCATTACTGCCCAGCCTTTTTACAGCTATGTGACCTTAAGCAAGTAACTTCTTTTTTGAGGTTCAGTTTCTTCTATCAATAAAATGATGACAATATTACGAGAATGTAGTGAAAATATTATAGTGTTATAAAAGGATTTTGAAAACCATAAGGCCCTTGAATTAAAATAAATGATCCCCAAGGGATATAGAGATATAATATAAGATGATATTAATATAAGTAAATTATACATGTCGCTTGTAGAAATGACATAGAATTTAAATAATGACTGCTTGATTTAAAATATGTCATAGTAACTATAAGGAAACCGAAAATTTTGAAACTTTTAAAATCTAGATTTTTGTCTTTAGTCTCACAGTCTCAGTAGAGTGAGATAAAATATATATGATCATTATGGTTTTTTCCCCCCTAGACTGACATCTACAGATACCATTCCTAAAAGCAAATTTCTTGCACTGGGATCCAAATTTCGATACAGTGGCCGAACTCAAGCTCAAACCAGACAAGCTAGCGCTCTGATTGACAGGCCAGCCCCACACTTCGAGCGTACAGCAAGCAAACGGGCATCCCGGAGCCTTGATGGAGGTTTGTGTTGAATTTTGGTGAATTCCTATGAATTTAACTCTTAGAGAGGGATGAAGTTATCTGTGAGAGAACCAAATTAAAGAATGTCATTGGTAAAATGAAATGGATCTCACTAATTATCTAAGTCAGTGGAATCATCTTAAGAAAAGAAAAACTGAGGTTCAGAGAGAGTAGTAACTAGATCAAAGTTCCACTGATAGTAGGAGATTGAACACAACTAGAATTAGAATTCAGAACCTCTACTGCAGAGTGAAACTTAATATAGTGTATTGAACTAAAGCCTTCTTAAATGTTTTTGTTTGATTCTCACCCGAAGATATGTTTCTGTTGATTTTTTTTCTTTTTAGAGAGGAGGGAAGAGACGGAGAGATATCAATTGGTTGTTTCCCATATGCACTCCATCTGGGGATTGAACCCACAACCTAGGCATGTGCTCTGACCAGGAAGGGAGCCTACAGCCTTTCAGTGTATAGGACAATGCTCTAACGAACTGAACCACCAGCCCAGGTCTCTCTTGAATGTTTTTAAATAGTTATTTTTTCAACAGGAAAAGAGTCTGCCTCATTAGAGCAATCAGTTAATTATTTTAGATCATTTGTCATGTGACAATTATATACAAAAAAAGCAGTCCTATTACAGGAATCTCCAAATTTTGTTTAAATAAAATAGGGAGAAAATAAGTAAGTTTCGTGATTGTGTATTCTAACTGAAGATCTGTCTGAATCTTTCTAAGTATCAAGGATTTGAGAGCATTACTGAAATGAAGTATCAAGCCATATTCAGTTCTTTATGCCACTAAGAAAAAGTGGCTAATAAATAAAAGTTCAGAAGTCAGAAACCAAAGTAAAGTATTGTTATATAGGTGCTCAGAGCATCTGTTTCTCTAGCTGAAGAAGTAAAACTGATTCATATCCCAGTTTACATGAGAGTGGTAAGTCACAGGGATAGCTAATAAAGACAAGGATCTTTCAACTTATATTTTTGTTGCCCTTTTTCTTTTCAAGCCATTTCCATATATTCCTATTTAGTACCAGGAAACATTTAGGAATTCTTGTTTTGCTCATGAGGAAACTAGGGCACAAAAAAGTTATATAACTTGCTAGGGTCACACAACCAGGAAGTTCATCCATTCTGCGAGTAGTGGTTGCAGTGATTCTTGCCAGGGGAATACATTCCTATCATTTTTTGGAGCTTTAAAACAAATCCCCAAGATGTCTCATCTGTCTATGGTGGACCTGGGCAAAAGTCCTTTTTAAGATCCACAGCTAATTCATGTGGAGTCCCTCTGGTAATGGAACCACTGATCCATTGCATATCTATTGTTTCTGTACTATACTAGCAGAAGCTGTGCTGGTAAGTTACAGAGCTAGAACAGATTTAAGTCTCTACTCAATACGATGGTTTTGAGTTTTACTCTTTACTGCTATAATATAGAATTGTCTAAGTTTCTGTTGTCACAGGGGAGGAATATAATACTGGAATTAATGGGTTCATAAGATTATCACAACCAGCACTCCAGAAATGGGAAATAATTGAATTTTTCAGGTTAAGTGCTCTCTACAGATGCATCAAGGTCTTGTATTAGTTAACAAATGAATTCATTAAACTGAAGAGCCAAAACATCTTAAAAAGTATTCACTACCTACAACACCATGAATATACTAAAAATCATTGAATTATGCACACTACCTGGGTGCTTTGTATGTTATGTGAATTATATCTCAATGACCACAGTCACTGCCATGATTCTCTGTTCTGATCCATAATTTGTAAAAGTCTTATTGAGAAGAGGAAAGAAATTTGTCTCTCCAGGGCTCCCAGGCTATATTTTTCACTTGAATTGCATATCCATGTATACATAATTAATTTTTGCTCCACATGCTCTTGAAATATTAACCCATAACAAAAGAAATACAAAGACTTAGGTATGACATTAAAAGTTATTAATAGTTAGGGTTTATAAAGTATTTTTATAGCCATTGAATATGCTTTCCCCGGCTATTCTGTGGAGTTAATATCTTTCCCATTTTACTAATGATGCAACTGTCTGCCTCTGTTTCAACTGCCAGTTTCCACACTTTTACCTACTTTTCCACATGCAGTACAGATTGCCAAGGCTAAGCCTGCTGAAGACATAAATCATTTGGCTCTGCAATATTAGTATTGGATAAAAACCAAACGCAAGTGGCAAAATAACACATGGTGAAAGCATGGGCTCTGTTTCTGTGATGCCAGTCAGAGTTGAATTAATTCTTTGAGAGGAGGTGTGAATCCACATGTATAATGATACTTCAACACAACTGTGTGCAAAATATTTTGTCACATTCCCCTGGGTTGTTAGAATTGTCTACCATCTGCCATTCTTGCATTGACTGGCTTAGAGCACACATGAGAAGCAGGGACTTGTAACAGGACAGAATTTTCATCGAAAGATAAAGTATATTATTATATTTCTGCTGTTATACCAGGTGTCCTCTGAGGAATGATTTCTTGCACTGAAGATCATTATAGGGTTATGAGCATTTCTTTCTTGGTGTTGTCTATATGAAGTAGTTGTGAATTTTAATTTTTTATCCATTCTAATTTATAAAATTTTTTTGTTTTACCTAATCCTTACTGTTTATAAGTCTAAATCTATCAGAAGTTAAGTTCCTTATACTCCATTTAAGAAGGCAGAAACATGTATAGCACAAATTGTAAAGGTTTTCATGCAAAATAATTTAAAAGTCTCAGTACATGGAAGGATGAATTGTTATCAGAGATATTAAATCATGTAGAAACACACTGAAATCCTAGACACTGTTAGGTAAGTGAGGATTTACTACACAGTGTATAATGTTTTATTTAAGTCTATTTGGAAAAAGGAAGATAAAAATCATAAGAGTATAAATGATTGCTTTGAAATAATCAATCTGAAACTTAGCTGTCAAATAATCAAAACCAAAACTCTGAAAAGATCAAGCTTTTTTCATAAACCTATTTTGAATATTCTCTCTAAAAGGTTAGTTAACCTCAGCAACCTTAGCCTGTACACTATGTATGCCAGTACCTCCTTCCACTTCTCTTCCCAGTTGTAACAACCAAAAATGTCTCCAGACATTGCCAAGTGTTCTGTGGGAGGCATAAATTACTCCTGATTGAGAACTACTGGCTTAAATACATTAGAGAATAGGAGTTATAATACAAATTGATAAGACTCAAGGAGAATGCAGGACAGAACTCAAAAGGTTAGAGGATATTTCTGGCGGTTTTTTTTTTTTTTTCTGTTTGTTTTGTGTGTGTTTTTTAAGGACTAACAGCCAAAAATTTTGAATTTGTATTATTTTAATCACATGACTTATTAAAAAGGAAAGTGTTTTGTTCCAAGATTTACCCTTAAACAAGGATCAAAAGCATACATGTCTTAAAAGATCCATTTATCAAGTTATTTTGTAATCATTCAGAGGAAGCTTCATAGAAGAAATCAAGCTTATTGCTTTTTTTCTAGAATATATTTTTAGGTTCCTGAAATTACCTATAAGTAAATAGATCTTTATTTGTTTTTTAAAAAACATTTTTATTGATTTCGGAGAGGAAGGGGAAGGAGAGAGAGAAACATCAATGATGAGAGAATTATTGATTAGCTGCCTCCTGCTCATGTCCCCTATTGGGGATTGAGCTTGCAACCCAGGCATGTGCTCCCACTGGGAATTGAACCATGACCTTCTTGTTCATAGATTAATGCTCAACCACTGAGCAATACCAGCCAGGCCATAGATCTTTATTCCAAAGAGGCTTCATGGAAGAAATAAGATTTGATTAAGCTCCTTCTTTCCCTACATAAACTGCATTAGTGGTTCTTGAAACAGATTACTAGGTTACACAATCTTGGTAACTTTAATAAAATGAGCTTTCAATTTCTTTTCTTATTTTGATGTCAGCACCTCCACCCTGACTCCTATTATGGAACATGATTGCCTGCACATTTTAGTTTTTCTCATTGCCATCAATTACCTGGCCAACCAGTAGTATTGATTTATTTTTGTATCTTCTGTGTGATAGTTCACTGGACACTGTAGCATTCATATGGTCACCTGGTGACTTTGAAGTGGCACAGTGACTCTTGCCTTCATTTATTCTCTTTTCCTTTTCTCACGTAATAGCGGCTGTCGATTCAACAGACCGAAGTCCTCGGCCCACTTCTGCACCAGCCATTGCTCAGAGTCAGGGCACAGAAGGCAGTGTGCCAGGTGCACCTGTCAAAAAAACACAGAAGGAAACAGTGAAGGTTGAAGAGAAAAAGGAAGAAGTGCCACCTGAGCAAGCTGAGCCAGAGGCCACAGAAGTGTGGAAGGTATGTCGTAAGTTCACGTATCTGGCAAATTAACTTTCTGAGTTGACCAGGAAGGTTTTCAACGCATTAATTCTTATAGAATCCTAACAAAGTTATTCTCCTTTACTCTTTCTTCGAGAAAATATCCCATGAACCTGTAAAATGTTTTCATAGAATTATGTCATGAAGACTGTGAGCTATTCAGAAGTTTTCACATGCCCCAACCTTAACTCAGCTTTATCTAAATAATAATGATGATGATGATGATGATGATAGTGTTTATAAAGCATGGAAGCACTGTGATCATCTGCTTTTAAAAATGTTTTACTCATCCAGAAGAATATCCGTATTCCTTTTTTTTTTTTTTAAATATATTTTATTGATTTTATACAGAGAGGAAGGGAGAGAGATAGAGAGCTAGAAACATCGATGAGAGAGAGTCATCGATCAGCTGCCTCTTGCACACCCTCTACTGGAGATATGCCCACAACTAAGGTACATGCCCCTGACCAGAATCGAACCCGGGACTCCTCAGTCCCCAAGCCAACGCTCTATCCAGTGAGCCAAACCGGTCCTGGCTATCCGTATTCCTTTTTAAGAATAAGCGTAGTGTGATAAAAATACAATTTGATTTCCCTAAGTTGGATACGTGTGCAGCATAGTTAGAGAATATAAAGATATTATATAAATTGCATCTATGTGGTTGTTGCTTTCCAAAAAGGGGAAGATCCAGTATGTGGGAGAGGTTATGCTACTGAGTTATTATAGTTTTGAATTGATTGTACCCTTAGTCACCAAACCATATTGAAAAGTTACCAATTTAATTAGCAGATATTCCAGGAGTAACAGTAACTGGACTGATCTTTTATGTGTTAAGTGGTGATGGAGTTGAGGTACTAGTTCAGATTTATTGACGTAAATACAAGTCTCTCTTTTGACAACAAAAATTAATAGACTCAGTCTTTATAAGAAAAATGATGTCTTTATATGTCTGTTTAGAAATTTAAAACCACATAAGACCTGAGTAAGTGCTCTCACTTTGGCAGATGGATTAATTCTGTACTTTTGGAATCAGTTCAACATCTAGTTTATCTGTAGAGCAGCAGGCAAGTTGGCTCTGTGTTGATGGTATTAAAAAGAAACTGTCCAATACCACATGTAGTTTTTACTGTCCTTTGCGACCAACTTGAGTCCACAGAGAAAACAAAAAACATTTGATTGACTGATGGGTGTTTGCTTTTTTGTACCAGCCAAATGTGCATGACATCAGCCACCCAGTTCAATGTCAACAGTGCCTTTTTCATGTTAGGCTGCCCAGTATAAAGTTAGGATGTCTTACCTGGCACTTCTGTTATACTAACTGGAAAATGTTGGATTACTGGAGTTGGCAAGGAAATCTTTTTGATTGACAAAGATTCCTTGGCCTATAAGCTGACACAAGTATCTTCGAGAAAGGTTCCCTTTGCTCTTGAGACCTCAGCAGAGCAGAGAGATTGCTTTCTGGTATATGGTCCCCATTTAAGTGCCTCAAAGGGATCTTCTTGCCAATTAATTCTGTATAAGATTATTTTGAGATACTTGTGTTGAGATTAGATTGAAAACTACCTGTTATAGCCACCTATTCCTATAATATAGTACAGAATTGAGGGTGACTCTGAGTTGATTTTATTTGCAGCAGTTAGAAAATAACTATGGAATTGCCTTGAGTCATATTTTTTTACTTGGGCCATATTTTTTATATAAAACAATAACAGTAATAAAATAGTCTTGTAGCAGTGTAAATTTCACTAGCTAACACTAATTTGGTGCCAGATAGAACTCTTTGGCATCTTGAGTCATTTGACAAGATCTGTTTTGCAGATGTGTACATCTTGTCTTTTAAGGTGGCATTAACACCTTAATGGGGGCATTCACAGAACTACTGCTGCTACTTGGCCTCCATTCTTAGACTGAAGTAGAGGCTCTGAATTTTTGCTGTTGGGTTGCTAGGAACCCAAAGCAAAAATATCATTATTCATTTACAACTAATTGAAGCTTTACAAAATAATTAAAAATTACCATTTGCTAGACATTCACAAGTCTATGAAAATATCATTTCCACTTTATCATAAAAAACTTAAACTCAGAAAGGTGAAATACTGGCCACATAGCCAGTATACCAGGATTCAGAATAGAACTGACCCAAATTGTTAATTACCCATGGTAGTTAAAAGTGCTATTATGGATATGTTTCTGATTTGACAGAGTCACAAGGTTTGGTGTTATGTTCTTCAGTCAGTCCTAGAGAAAAATAGCACAATGACATTGTACACTGAAGTTATGCTGCCAAGTGTGACTAAAAATAAACCCTCTGATCGATTTGGTTCTTTAAAGAACTTAATGATGCAAAGTGACTGAGTTAACCCTTAATAAAAACAGTTTTCTAATTTTGAGATATCCAGTGCATTAGGCATTGCTAACTTTATTATGCTTTCTCTTAATAGTCTGTCTAGTGTTTATTTATTTATACTTACTCCATTTGGGGTATATTAAATGACTATTACTAAAGGAATTTCAAAGCTAGGCAGGAGGCCTTAGTTATTTAACTCTTCCTAGTATTAAAGATGAACCTTACCCATCACCAAACACATGGGCTCCAACTGCCTAGAGAGGTGATTACAGAATGTTGAATACTGCACCTGAGCCCTGTGTGTGCTCATTTATAAATCATTTATAGTTGCATGCATCAGTAACAGTTTGTATTAAGTTTATTTTGTTGTTTTGTTGTCTAAAAACTCAGGAGTAAAACTATCTCCTTGAACATATTGGCCAATTAAAAAAATGTCTTATATTTACCTGCTTGATGTTATATGTGTGCTTTAACTGCAAAGATTTTCTTTTTGTTTCTAACTACCATGTATGTCATACATTGATATCTTTGTTTGTAAATTTGTTTTTAAATGTTATTTAAGGTACCTCTAGATCATTAAAAAGCAAAACAAAAAACATATGGCTTTTTTAAGCCTAATTATTTTTAATACGTCCTTTTTTATAAATAAGTATAAATTGTTCATCAGTAAAATAATTACCTTTATTTTATTTTTTGGTCACTTGGCTGTCCATATTACCTCTTCAGCCTTGGAAATGTGAACTAACAGATTGCCCTTGAGAGTAATGACCTTCTCCCTCCCCGCCAAAGGCTTCACCATGATGATTACATATCAGTTTATTTTACAACCAGCTTACAGATGTGGCTTTTTTTTTTTTTTTAAACAATGCTATTCATAGGAACCAACTAACCTAAAATGTTTTTTAACCACTTTATTTCTCAAATGTAGGGGGAAAAAACCCACATCGAGGTCACAGTACCCACCTCAAATGGTGACCAAACACAGGTTTGTGCCAGTAGGCCACTTGTTCCTTTCCCCCTCCCTCCTCAACTTTTATTTGTCCCCAACTCCCCTCTCCTTAAAAAAATTAAATTAAATTAAGGTTCCAACTAACTTTAATGAGCCAATATTTTATCATTTTTCTTTCTTTTTTTAATAATGGCAAAACAGAAGCTTGCAGAAAAAACTGAAGATCTGATAAGAATGAGGAAGGTTAGCCATTTTTCACTTTCACAAAACTACATTAGCATCACCCATACTGACTTTCATAGTGCATTAAAAAGACAGTGATCCATTCTTTTCATTGATTTCTCTTAATCAGAAATTACTTTCAAGTAGAGATAGATGTATATATATATGCATATATGCACACGCACAATACAAAAGACATTATAATCCTATACTATAATTTAAAATTTCATTAAAATAAATTTTCCAGTATAAAAATATCTTTTGAAACACAGTAAAATAATTAGTAAAGGCCAAACATATCCTTTATTAAACTTTATAAAAATATTTCACAGTGGCGCCATATTCTTAAAATCATTGACAATATTTTATACATATTTATTATGGAAACCATCATAGCATTTCCCTGTACTGTTAATATCTGGGCTTGACTGCTCAGTGCCTCTTTCTTCCCAATTATAGAGTGAGATGAATCAGTTTCTACTGACTACAATATTGAATGATCATATATAAAATGCCCATAGATCTTTCTTATGAAAAGTATTAGAGATGTACATACTGCATTATGACTATGTATGAAATATCAAAAAATTAAATAATGTTTTTAAAAATATACTTCTTTATTGATTTCAGAGAGGAAGGGTGAAGAAGAGAGAGATAGGAACATCAATAATGAGAGAGAATCATTGATGGCCTGCCTCCTGCACACCCCCTATTGGGGGTCAAGTCCGCAACCCAGGCATATGCCCTTGGCTGGAATCGAACCTGGGACCCTTCAGTCCACAGGCCAGTGCTCCATCCATTGAGCCAAATAGGCTAGGGCTAAATAATGTTTTAAAGTATTTAAATACTCCAGAGATACAGGAAGGTACATGGAGTTTTAATGCTTCTTAAAATCATGTGTTAAGATAACCCCTCAAACAGCTCAATTTCAAAAATGAACATAAAACATCTTATAATATAAGAAGCCAATGAAGCCAGGAGCACTGTCTGTTTAAATAACATCATCACATTCTTCCATCGTTCATGAACAAGGTCATCCATTTCCCAGTGGTAATGGTGTTCTCTGTGTGTCCTTGTGGTTCTGTGACCATTTCATGTTGGCTTTGCTGCGCTGTGGATTTTAATTTTAAACAATTTTTGGTTTGCCAATTTGCAGTTTTTCCCCCGCAAGAACAATGTTTTAATTTTTTATGCTTTTCTGTTTTCCCCCTCTTTCATTTTCACAGAAAAAGAGAGAGAGACTAGATGGTGAAAACATTTATATCAGACATAGCAATTTAATGTTGGAGGTTTGTATGAACTTGAAGCTTATTTCATTTGGTTGCCTGTAACCTTTTGCATTCTTTGCTGATGCCCCTTTCTTCTTTCTGTGCTGCGTTTGGTTTTGCATGCCATTGCATGGGAGAACTTCAGATTTAAAATGCTTTTGCATGTTGATAAACACGAAGATATGTAACCGTCTCACCTGATTCTTTTTAGTTTCCATCTCTCATACTTACCTAAAAAATATATGATTGGAACTTCTTTTGACTCTTGTGGTTCCATTGTTTTACCCACTTTTAGAAAATTCTGCATCTCTGTTAAAAAAAAAAATTCATTGAATTTTCGAAGAGTATAAAACTACTACATGTCCCAAGCATCCTTTTTTTTTATGTTCTGAAATGAGTTTGGGAAAGTAAGAGAAATGACCACAATTTAAAATGGGCTTAAAATTTTGGAGATACCAAAAAATTATGGAAGGACAGTCAGAGGGAAAGAAAAATAAGACATGGAAAGGAAAGAAGGGAGTCTAGAATTTAATGAGTAGTTAGTATGACTTAAGATTGTTTAATCATAAAAACAGTTATGTGGGTATGAGATTAGTATTTTAAAGATGAGAACATTGAAGCTTAGAGAAATTAAGTAATTTCCCTATAGTCATAGAACTAGTAAATTGGTAAAGCTAGGGTTTGAGGTAGGGCCTGTCTAACTCGATTACACTACTTTTCCCCCTACTAAGAAATAGCAACATACCGTCAACTATAGCAATGGTAAGGTCATTTTCCCATTACAGTCAATATTGGTGAGAATTTTATCAGAGTTATGTTGCATACTTCATCTAGTTTTGGGCTCTATATTGGATAGGGATACAAAGTTAATTATAAGATTTGGGTAACTCTGAACAAAAATTAAGGAAATGAATTATTCTGTGTGTAGAAAAAACTGAGGCTATGTTAGTTTACACATAAAAAAATTCATATAGGGAGGGGGAAAAATAAAAATAAAACTCATATAAAAGTTGATGAGCAAATTATTTTACAACTTAACAGGGTGAAAAGAAACAACCACCAACTCTGATATCAGGGATTTAACTTAGCTGTAAAAGAAATATAAATATACAGGAAGATGATGAACATGGTTTCAGCCTTCAGAAAGCTTACAGGGTGAGGAAGTGGAGAGCAGAGAAAAAAATAAGTAAACAAATAGTAATAAAATGGTTACACGTTGTTATAAAACGATGAAGGAAATAAACCATATCTGTGCTAATAAAAGGATCTACTGTGAATAAGATGGATAGGAAAGTTCTCTCTCTGAAGAGAACATTTTAGCTGAGACCTGAAAGATGAACATATATTAAATGTGGTCAATAATTAATCTGAAAGAATAAAGAAACTTTCTAGGATAGATTCCTGATTTAATGGTCTCTAATAATTAAGCTCATCTTATTCTTTGTCAAAACTTAAATTTTGAGTGTCTGCTAAGTATAAGGTAGTTTAATGAAAGTAACACAAGTTATTGCCAGCCTTCATTGATCATGTACTATGTAGTGGGCACAATATCAAGTGCTCTACATACATTTACCTCATGTAGCATGAGGTTTTCCAAGGCTAGACCCTAGGATATTTCAAACATGGCAACTATTAATAGATCTCTTTGCTTTAGCCCATAACTGAAACTAGACCTGAATGGTTCCTCTTCTGAGATTAGGAAAAATAACTAATATCAGTTGATCTCCTTGAACTCAGCAATAGAATGTCTCCTAATTCCAAACATGCCGATTTCTTGGCTTCCTCTTAACTGGAACCTGCAGTACCAATCATATATTTGTCATTTGTTTCATGAGGTGTGTTATGGCTTCTGAGACTCATAAAGTCCCTGTGTGTGGTGTGTTTTTCCCCAGCATTTCATTGACAGCCATGAGAGGGGATTTCTAATAAGTGTGTGTTTGAAAATTAAAACTACTAACTACCTTTTGAGAATATTTTATATTTAATAAAATGTTTGGTTTGATTGCTGCTAAAATTAAAATATGATAGGCATCAAAAAGTGTCTAACCTGAAAACGGCTGAAGTAATTTGGCTATCACTCTCTAGTTATTGTAAAAGTTTGGGTGGGTTTTTTTTTTTTTCTTCTAAGGAAATTCTCTCAAGTTATCTGTCACTCTAGCAGTTTGGTGTGTGTTTTTTTAAGCATCCCTCCTCCCTCTACTCCTACCCCACCCCCACTAATGCTTTGTTCTGGCACAAATAAGGTCGGGTTAATTTTTAGATGTACTACCTCCTCCTCCTCCATCTCCCAGAGGGAACCTGAAGCAAGTGTCTGTGACAAATTCTATTTGGAGCAGGTCCCTTTGAGCTCTTAATTTTACTCTGTGCCCCTACAGGCTTCCAACAGAGCAAGCTAAGAAGGATGGAGAAAGCTCCCTCAGAAGCTACTGATGTTATTGAAACATTTATTTTCTCAGGTTCCAAGCCAGAGAAAAACTAGGCAAGAAGAGTAACAATCTCAAGTGTTAAAACCTAGAGAGTCATGGTTTTACCTTAGCGTATCTTGCTCATTTATATTTTGCTCCATTCATTCTTTTAACTCTCTCCAAAATGTTAAGTTGTTCTTGGCCAAAGCAGATTTAATTTCCAGTCGGCAGCTGGGTCACAGGTCCTTACATGACTGGTGGGTCTCAGATGCTCAGCTACTACAGAGTCTTTGACTGAGCTTGTTCATGCCTTTTCTTTAGCTAGTAAACATGTTTTTCTTGCTCTCATATAGAACAAAAGTGCAAACTGTTGTTTCCCCATAGTGCAGCCCATGTTCATGAGCTGTTCTGACACTTCATCCCAGAAAGCAAGAGGTACTCTTATGGGGGAGCTACAGGATTGCCCTTTTGGGGTTAGTTTTCTCTTTGAATGACCTCAAATCAAATATACGTGTTCATTCTTGCAAAAATAAAGAGCATAGACTACTAATTGAACTCTCTGAATGAATATCTCCAGAATCAAAATAGTGTCCTGTGCCTTACTGATTCTTTTTTCCTAAGCTATTTTTGTTATTTTCCCTTTGACATTGCATTTGAAAAATATCTAATTTAGTTGAAGCCTAAATTGCTGCAGAAAAAAAAACTTTTAAAACAAATTTATATTTCAATGAGTTCCATTTCTATTTCAGTTTTTTTTTTCCAAATGAGCCTGTTCCCCACAAGAGTAAAAAAAAAAAAAAATCCAAAAATTCACATAGCGTATTAGGAGATATATTTAGTGTTATGCTTTTCTTGGATACAGAGCTGCCTTGATATATAACAAACACAGAATTTTCAGCAGTCATCAAGTGACGGGCTCCCACATATTTTGATCTCAAGGATAAATCTTTTGAGTTTTTTCAGAGAAGTAATTTGGACAAAGAACATTTGAGTTTTTGTATGCAAGTTGTAATTTCTCAGGTTATTTCTATCCAAATTTCCCTTTTGAAAGTTGTTATATACCTCCCATTACATAAACCTAAATCTCATTATTACAAGCTTTACTAACCTTAGTTTTGATAATTTCTCACTGGAATATGCCTTTTAAGTGCCTACCCCTAATTGTCCAATATATGTATCTGTTGGGACAGTTGAGGTATTTTAAATAGCCAAGGAAGTATATAAATTATTTTATGAACTCTTGTTAAATCACTCCCAATTTATTGATGTGTAGTATAAGAAGGCCACTATTTTTAAATATATATATTTTATTGATTTTTTACAGAGAGGAAGTGAGAGGGATAGAGAGTTAGAAACATCGATGAGAGAATCATCAATCAGCTGCCTCTTGCACACCCCCTACTGGGGATGTGCCTGCAACCAAGGTACATGCCCTTGACCGGAATCGAACCCAGGACGTTTCAGTCCACAGGCCGACGCTCTATCCACTGAGCCAAACCGGTTTCAGCAAGGCCCCTACTTTTAATTGTACTAAGGCAGCGGTCAGCAAACCGCGGCTCACGAGCCACATGCAGCTCTTTGGCCCCTTGAGTGTGGCTCGGCGTTAAAACCACTTCTTCAAAATAGACTCGCCCAGCCGAAAACCAACTGCTGCGCATGAGCCCCGACGTTTCAATCGCACTGTTTGTGCGCGCCCGCACGTAGTATTTCGTGGGAGAGCCACACTCACGGGGCCAGAGAGCCGCATGTTGCTCGTGAGCTGCGGTTTCTCTGACCACTGTACTAAGGATGAAGTGAAGCTGTTAGAGGCTGGAAAGCAGAGGTCTTTGAGTTTGTATGAATAGTATTGGCAAAGAAAAAAAGCCATTATATGACATATACCCCTGAGTAAATAGTCAGAGATAGTAACCACTTGCTCTGGAGGCTTGAGCCTGGAATTTCAGTAACTTTTTTTTTTTTTTTTTTTTAAATCTTGGAGCCAATCACTTTCTCACAGAGGGATAGTCTTTTTCTTTTAATTATAGTTGATGTACAATATTATATTAGTTTCAGATGTATAACATAGAGAATCAACATTTATATACTAGCAATAAATTCTTATATTAAGAATGGACTATTCTTGTTAACTAAAAACCAACTACAGCCACTAAATAATAGGGAAGCAAAACTACCTCTAGGTAAAAATAGAGAATATTGTACAGGTGCAACTTACCAATGCAAGGCAGCCAGTGATGGAAACTGAATCTTTCACCATGTCCTTCACTGAACAGTTTCTCCTTGTCTATTGCTATCTCCATCCTGCCTGAGCTGAGCCTAAATCAGTTTATATCAAACTGAGGCTAATTGAGTTGTGGGGTTACCTTCTTGGGATGAGGAGTTGGAGATCTAGCACTGTGTCATAATTGGAAGAGAGTTGTAAAATTGAGTGAGTTTCTAATGGCTCATGTAACTGCTAAGAGCTATGGGGGTTTGATGCTTCACTGCTTCCAAGAAAAGCACCTTGTTGGGGGGGAAAAAAAGGCAAGCAATTATGCCGTGTTGTATATTTACAATTTGAATGCAATTTATGGGCTAGTTATATCTATCCCTGGATGTGGTGTGTTTTCTACTAGTGCCCATAAGCTGTGATGGGCTTCCCTTGTATGTTTTTTTTTTCTCTGAGTGTTTATTGTTTTGCATCTTTGCCCTTCCAACTATAGGATTTAGACAAAAGTCAAGAAGAGATAAAAAAACATCATGCCAGCATCAGTGAACTGAAAAAGAACTTCATGGAATCTGTACCTGAACCACGGCCTAGTGAGTGGGATAAACGCTTATCCACTCACTCCCCGTTCCGAACACTTAACATCAATGGCCAAATCCCGACAGGAGAAGGAGTGAGTACTTTATTCATGTGACCAATTATGAGAATTAGTGAAATAAGTGTTTTTTATATTCATATTCTGTATCTGAGAGAAAGTTTAGAGCTGAAGTTTAGCTTTGGTATCTCACGAGTTCGTTACAGCTTGTCATTCATAATCAAACACTTGTTAATTTTTAAGTAATTTGGACTACCCAGTCTAATTAAGGGAGCCACTTAGCGCTACCAGTAGATGATTAAGGTCTGAAAACTCTCTCTGTAGCTGCATATGTGTTTACAAATTGACCATAAGCCAATGGAACTTTATGTTCAAACTGTGCCTTCAGGGACCAGAGAGTACACTAAATTTAGGTAGGTTAAATTTAGAAAGGAATAAGCATTCTTTAAAAACTTTATTTGAATATTTGAATAACTTAGAAATGTTTGGAATGGTTGGCCACAATTATATAATAAACGTAGGAGGCCCCTAAGCCAGCGAATGCAGAATACCAAGTATCAAATGATTGTATTTCGATTTTAGAAAAACTGTTGATGATTTATTTTATTTTTATAAGAAACATCAAACTTTTAATATACTGCTTTATAACATAGTCACAATTAGAAGGACCAGAGATATTTTCCAGGAGCTATTCTTTTTCTGTTATTGTTGTCATTCCTATTGTAGAAATTCTAGACCCAAATAAATGAATCTGTGTAATGAAAATGTCTAAAAGTTACCTTGAGCATATATTCAAAAATTCTTTACTTAAACGTTAGCCTGCGGGGCTACTATTTATAAAATAGTCACAATGACTTGCTGAGTGACTGTAATGATTTTTAAATTACACGCTTGTTTCCACCCCTTCCCCCAAAGCAATAGCAATTCTAGTTAAGAAAGGTAAAGTGTTAAGATATGTACACATATAACACCTTAATAAAAAATGAAAAGAAAAAAAGGTAAAGTGATATCTTAATAATTTTTTAAAAATTCTTTTATATTTAGAATTTAGGATAAACTGTCAACTTACTTAGTTTCTGGAACTGGAGAAGATAGTAAAAGTTGGTTTACAAAGGATATTTTCTATATTTCGCAAAATGTGATTAAAATTGGCTAGTGATTTTTCTAAATGGAGTCAAACCAGTTTCACTGAGTAAGGGTGGAGAAATCCTGAATATGGGCAGCTTAGTAGAGTTACCAGGATGTAGGATGCAGTTCCTGTTCACTGTCTTCTCGGCCTCCATGCCCTGATATACATGGACATAGTTTGGTATTCTAAATCTAGCAAATGTCCTCTGAACTGACTTTTTTCTCGTGGACAAGATGTTTTTCTATCTTGCCTGGTAACTGTATATTTTCTAGAAGTTTTCTTTTTGACTTTGTGCAAATAATAAAAGATGCTCAACTACTTTGGAAAAAGTAAACCATATTCTCTTGGATGAGGTTTGGTAAATTTGAATCAGTCTCCATTTCCAGAAAGTATCTTATACCTTAATAGAAGCCCTTCAGAAATCATCGCAGGACTGGTTTGAGGAATGGCTATATGTCATTCTGTAGACTTTAAAGAAGTAACTCTTTATAAATTAAATTACATAATTGGGGATAGTTGTGAAACTTTAGCTCTATGTTTGTATATATTATTCCATAAATGAATAATGGAATAAATAAGAACTGTACTGTGATAACCTTTTATATAGGATGACTCCATTTTCTGGCATATCTTACTTTTTCTATAATAATTAAGACAATATTTCTGTTCTCTGGGGATACCTCTTCCACCTTTGACAGCATTGTTGTTGCATTGCAAAGCAACTGAATTTTTATAATTTGTGTATGACCAGGTGAAGAAAACCTCTATCCTTCCCTCGGAAAGAAAGGTTGGTGGGCCAGAGGTAAAGCTGCTGTTACTCGTGCTTCTCAATCACAATTTGCTCTTGTCATGGCACTAAGCAGATAATGCCCAGAACTGAACAGCAGCTGCTGAGTAATTTTTTTTTCTTTTGGCTATACTAGTAAATTCACACCCACCACCTTTTGACCTAACACATAACACTTCCACTGCTGCACCTTTTGCAGCTTTCAAATTGCTTATGTTGGCGCATGGCTGTTGAAAAGCTGCATGCAGATGTAAATATGTATTCAGAGAGAAAATGAATTTAATTGTACCCTATTCTTTTTATGTTGTCTTTCTTCTCCCTTTGTTTTCTGTTAAAAATCATTATTATAATTTTGCATCCTTTCTTTTCCTTTTTTCTTTTTTTGCTGACCAGTCCCCCAGCTACTTTCTCCCTGATACATATCGCTTAGGGGTGTGCAAAGAACCAGTGTCCCCCTTCCAAACTGATCCAAGGAGGCTGGCTCAACTGAGAGAACTTAGAGCCAAGTTTTTCCTTTCATAGATAACATCTATTTTGACTGGATGGCAGAGTACAGAAATCTGGGCGGTGGGGTGGGGGGGTTTGAGAAAAACTTAACAATTGGACAATTGTAAAAAACAAACAAACTTTTCTTAAAAGTATCAAAAGTATTTGCCTAATGTGATGTCTAAACCTTCGTGGTGGTCATTATTATTTATTTTTAATCATAATTTTAAGAGAGAGGGGAAGGTAGTTTTATAATTGTTAAAATTTTGGGGGTTTGGGTTGTTTTTTTTTGTGGGTTTTTTTTGTTTGTTTGTTTGTTTGTTTTGGTAGACCTTGGAGGCACATATAAAATTTTATACTTTTTTTCTTTGCAATCTTTAAAATATATAGGATTAAGGTTTTTATTCCCTTGAAAAAAAGCTAATTGCCATATTGGATGAACTGTTTGCTTTTAAAATCTATATGAGGAAATATGAGGATAACTTCATATTCTGCCATTCTATTTGTAATAAAGGTAATTTTTCTCATGGCAAGAAGAATGCTTCATTATTGGTTTTGCCCAATTGATCTAAGAAAAATTGACAGGAACAATGAAAAACAATGAAAAGTGACCCAAAATTCTTATGTGAATATCCTTAAAGGAGGAATAAATGCTAAGGAAGTCCAGTGATTCCTTGAATTGTCAGGACTTCTAGTGTTCAAAAAAGTTATCTTTGAGTATTGTGCCATAAAAACTTTGCCAGGATAAGTTGCCAAAGTAAAATAGAGTGTCCAAAAGATCTTCCCAAATCCTTTGCACATCCCCAAGTATCATTTTTAAGCATTTTTCATCTGTCATTTTGTTCATCTTTCTCTGTCTTTCTTGATCTTCTACCGCGAAAGCAGACACAGGAACGTGCTCTGTTAGTACAGGATGAAGAGAAAATTAAAAGGCAAGAGAGATCTACTGAAAGAGCTTTGCCCCAGCAAGAAAATGAAGAAGTTCTTCCCAAGGTTTCTATTCCAATCCCTGAGGATCACAAGTCTTTCAAAAAGTGCCACCTCTACCTTAATACTTTTCCCTCTCCTCGTTTTCCTTTCATGATGTCTTTTCTCGTGGTTCTTGCATTGGCGGTTTGGTGGTTGGTCTTTCTGTGATTGGAAAACAGGGTGCTCATCTGAAATGTCAAGACTAAAACTGTCGAACTTTTGGCTTCTATTGTATGATGCCCTCTGATCTTGATAGCTCACTGTCCTTGATAGCTCTTGTGATCATTTTTCTGTCGATAAAATGTTACTCTTTGTAGAATATGCATTATGGGTACAAAGGAGTAGGAATGGATTGCCCAAGTCAGCTTTCTTCACTGAAGTGAACAAGTTTAGACTAATCAGATTTAAGCATATGGCAGGTTGGTACTTTCTCCAAAAGCTTTTGCTCTTTTATCCTGCATGTTTTTATTATTTATTGTTGCTATGTCCTCCTCTCCAATGTTTCACACAAAACAAGATACTCTGTAGAAACATTCAGTGGAATATTTTCCTAATCTTTCATAGTCATTTGTGTGGCACAGGCTCTGTAGTTTAAGAAAAAATTCAACTTGCTAACCTTTCAAAAGCCTTAAAATGACACATGTTAATCTATGAATCCAAAACCACTCCTTTTCTTAGTATATCAAACTAGTATATACAAAGGCCCTTTTTTGAAAAGGGCTTTTGACTTCTGTGGCCTTCCTAATGTGTGTTTCTGAGATGTACAGGGACAAACAACTTCATCCTGTCTGGTGTAGAGAAGAGTTCTGCAAAGGTTAAATGCCATTTTTTCACAAAATAAATGTTGACAGTTTAAGGAAAATGGTGCTGGTATCCCTTAGCCTCCAGGCAGGACTGAATTTCCCACACTACTCTATCCATCTTTAGAAGTCCTGGAATACAGATTTATTCAAGATCTATACATAAACATAGTCTTCTGAATTAAAATACTGTGTTTGTCTTTATGACTTAAGTAATTATATTGCTGGAAGCATAACTTAGTCATGTGGTAAGCTTAAAATATACATTGATATATTTTGTTTTCTTGGCACACTTTAAACATGTTCTTACGTTTGTGTTGAAATCAATTTTTGAATTGATTACCTTGTAAACTATAAAATTATTTTGTGACAAGTGTGTCTTCTGTTTGCATGTTGATTTTTAAGTCTTTTCTGAAGTAAATATGAGTGTGCCCTCTCTTCACAACATAACTTGAATGTCTAACCTGTTACTTTCTATCTTTACTAATGAAGTCTTGCATGTAGCTTGCTTTTTATAGCACTTGAATGTACAGATATGGGTGATTTGGTTAATGCTGTCTCAAATATTTGTAAGTTTGAGTTCATAGAGTCATCAAATGAGATTATTGCACTTTGTTTTACTCTTTAATGCTTTTCAGGTGGTGAGACCGCTAAACAAGACTGTTTTTAAGATGATGGCTTCTTAGAGCAAAAACAAAACAAAACAAAGCAGTAAAACCGAGAATCTTTTGTCCTTAAGCATTCATCACTATTATTTTATTGTCTCTGTAGTCATGCAGAAATAATTTTCTGGTATTCCTGAAAACGGCTACTCTATCATTATAGGCTTTCCACAAAAACAAACACACACACACACACACACACACACACACACACACACAAAAAAAAAAAAAAAAGGAAAAAGAAG